GAACAATAAACTGGATATTAAAGTGTATTTCAAAGAAACTGATACTCATCAACTCTTGCACAAGAGCTCCTTTCACCCAAAACATACCTTTTCTGGTATAATTAAGTCACAAGTTTTACGATTTCATCGAATTTGTACAAGATCTTCTGATTTCAATCAAGCCTGTACGATTGTTTTCTCAAAACTGAAAGAGCATGGGTACTCTAAACGATTTTTACGAAACATAAAAAATTCCACCTTAGCACAGATAGCAGCTAAAAACAGACTTTATGCCGAAGTACCTCCAGGTTTAAGAAGTGCTCCATGTTTGTCCAGGAGATGCAAAACATGTCCCTTTATATCAGAAACTCATTATTTTGTAAGCAACTCTACGAATAAAAGGTATCCGATCCAGGAACATCTAACATGTGAATATTCGAATGTAATATATTTAATTTCATGCAAGAAATGCCCCAAACAATATGTAGGAGAAACTAAGAATAATTTACGAACTCGCTTTAATGCTCATAGGTCAGACATCAAATTAAAGAAAGACAAGCCTGTTTCTAATCATTTCAACCTCGACGACCATTCAATAGACGATCTCGCCCTAATCCCAATTGAGCGTATAGAAATTGACTTGCCTGAAGATGAAAGTACCAAATTCCGTCAATCTAGGGAAGCCCATTGGATTGAGACATTGAATACAGCAAGACCTATAGCACTAAATATTCATCATAATGTAGGCATAGCACCCTTTGTTGTCCCGTTTAATACAACCAGCAATCGAGCAAGCAAGATAGTTCATGCCCACTATAAGAGCCTTCAAGAGAAAATGCAGAAAATAAGCAGAAAATGATAGTTGCATATTCAAAAAATAAGAATTTAAATGATAATATTGTTCATAGTAAACTAAAAACAATCAGTACATAACAGATACTATACTTCTCGCCCATCGGGCGAGTTATTTTTTCTAATTTCAGATCAGAATAAGAACAGAAGAAAACCCAATATCAAGACCCTTAATCCTAATTTCTAAATAAAGTGTCTGCTCCACCCTAGGCCTGTACATTTGGGAGAATCAAACCCTCCCTTCCCCGAAATCTATATAGAAATTGCCTTCTTTTCCGCGTTGTATATTTTGTATCCCGAAAACAAACCAATCCACACTGATTTTATTTTGAGGGGTAAAATGATTGTAATATTTATAAAAATATCACATTTCTACTTACAAGAATGTAACTTTAGCTGGCTTACAGTATTTTATATCTCAAAGGTTCAGTCCAAAACATAGATTGACAGTTGGTTGATAAAATGGTTGAATTCAGAATGATAGAATGATTTTATCTAAACTAATGTAAATAATAGAAGATTGAAATATTTAACAAAAGACAATGTTGTGAGCTAACAATCAAAATGAAGTTGTTTGCTTATCACATTGTTTATGAAGTATTCTAATAATATTTAATAACATACCACATTTAGATCTCATTTAGATTTGGGCGCACAAAATAATGTTAATTGTTTTTAAATAAATATTCAGTTTAGCCCCCAAATGATAAGTATCCAAAAATTGAATTAGGCAGTACTAATAAGTAAATAGCCATAAATAATTACATCTTAAATAACAGTACAAATAATAACGTCTTTACATTTAAAAATCTAAGATACTACCCCCAGAATTAGATACATTTTTTATCAAATGTAAACAAACCAAATGTCGGATTATGTCGAAGTATTTGTGTCAATTCAACATTCTTATATAATTTTACAGATGGTCCAGAGAATATAAGATTTAATCCTAATAGTGATAATATAGATGTTATAGAAGGAAAGAGTCAGAGTGTCGACTGTTTAGCTGATTGTAAACCAGATTGTAACATCACCTGGTCTAAAGATGGTTCAACAACAATTCTAAATAACCCTTTATCACTTAGTACTAGAGATCAAACTGGTTCTTATAACTGTACAGTTAAACATACTGTATTAAATAAACAACTTACAAAACAACTTAATGTTCAGATTTATTGTAAGTATATAATACTATATTAATAAATACTAGACAGCAAACTAGTTCTTATACCTGTACAGTAACACATACTGTATTAAATAAACAACTTACAAAACAACTTAAGTATATCATAATATAACATGTTTAACTGATTGTTATTATTTCAGATGGTCCTGATAAACTTACTTTCTCACCAGATATAACAAGTGTCAATATAATAGAAGGTAGAGATCAAACTATATCATGTTTAACTGATTGTTATAAATGTAATTATAAATGGACTGGACCAATTTCATCATCAACTAAAGATCTTGTATTGACTCAAATAAAAAGAAATCAGGAAGGAAACTATAGATGTGAAGCTACCAATATTAAAAATACCAACCCTAAAACAAGACCTAAATATATACAAGTTAATGTGCATTGTAAGTATAAATATTTAACCAATCAGACAATTTGTCTAAGTGTCATACAATATATGGGTTATTGTGGAATCGATTTTAGTTTTCCATAAAAGTCAGTCTGTGTGAGTAGTTTTTAGATGGTAATTTGGTTGTAATTGTTCGACAGAAAACAGTCTTTTTTCACCATTAGCTTCTTTTCAAACCCCATTGAGACTATCATAACGAATATTTCAAAATTTACCCCGTAAATTGGCACACAATGTCACTATAGCAGGATTAGGCATAAATAATTATGTTTTTCAAGAATAAATATGTTTTCTGTTATCCGTCTTTCAGATCCACCATATATAACCAGTATAACATCTGATGCTGTAAATAACGAAATTGATGAAGGTTCTGATGTTATATTTAACTGTAATGTTGATAGTAAACCAGTATCTACTATTACATGGTCATCTCCTACTAGTACTGATACTTACACTGGTCAACAGTGGACATTAACTCAAGCTAAATGTCAGGATACAGGAATCTATACATGTACAGCTAATAATGGTATTGGTTAGTCAACTACTAAATCATTACCATTAAATATTAGATGTAAGTATATATTTAGTCAGTATACTATAATCTATATATGTACAGCTAATAATGGTATTGGTCAATCAACTACTAAATTGCCATTAAATATTAGATGTAAGTTCAAGACTATACAGGGAGAGCTTTTGGATGAATCAACTAAAAACTATTTCACCCTGTGGACTAAATATACAATTTGATTCTCAAATAATCCCATTTGTTGCTCTATTCAAAAACATTTCTTGCCAAGCATCCCGAATTATCAAAAGATACTACACAGAGTTACAAAATAAATTTCCCACTATTTTTTACAAAAAATTAGTCATAGCTTATTCGAAAAATAAAAATCTACAGGATATAGTTGTTCGTGGTCGACTTGTCCCCACCGATGATGTAGAGCGATCTAACAGAATTAAATATTTTCATTTTATTAACTGTCTTTGTACTTTATAGTATATAATAGACTAAAACAATTTACTTTCTATACCTGCAGCCATTAATCGCTTTTCTTCATTATTCCAGAAAATTTGAAGCAGTCAGAGTTTTTATGATTTTGTATTTTCCACAGACAATTGTCCCAATAATGTTGTTTCCGTAAATGTAGATTATGAATTTCTTTATTAGGTCCAAAAAGATCTATATGATAACCGTTATGATCTTCTTTGATTTAGTTCATTGCATATTAGCATCACAATTATTGTAAACATAACTTTAACCCCGTGCCAGTGCCTTATATTGAATAGTAACTTGTTACTCTTCAATCACCCTGATCTCTATAAGTACAGCTAACAGTAGTATTGGTCAATCAACTACTAAATCTTTACCATTAAATATTAGATGTAAGTATATATTTAGTAATTTAATTGATACCACAAGGTTTTGTTTTAGGTTCACCAAGAATAAATGGTGATTTAAAAGATGAAGTAATGAATAGACTAGGTGAAGAAGTAACATTACTTATTGATGTTATAGCCTATCCTAAACCTAGTTTTAAATGGATACAAGAATCAACAGGACAAGAATTAACACTAGATACAACTCAACAAGTAGCTACCAATAATTATATTTCAAGTTTAACATTCACAATACAACAATCATCATTTGGTAACTGTTAATAATAGTATAGGTGATGATAAAAGTTACACTATAAAGATTATTGATGGAGGTACGTTCCTAAATAGTCAAATTCAAGATAGGATGGAATTAAATTTTACGTCTGGTTTTCATATCCTGAATGGTCTACCATGCAATAGACAATAGATGCAATTCAGTCTAGAATATCGGTACTAACTTACTCGATTTTTTAATTTCAAGAAGTATTTAATATGTACAGATGGAACCGCGAATTGGAATATTTTGCATAATAAATAAATCTATTAGTGTTGAATGTTTCGTTTAAATTTATCAGTTGAGTGTATTAAATAAATTTCGTTAAAAGGAAATATCATTCCATCAGTTAATTCTGAATTCAACTATTTTACATAAAACTGCCAATATAAGTTTTGAGATATAAAATACTATAAGCCAACTGCCATCACATTTCTGAAAGTATAAACTTGATATTTTGTTGAATATTTTAGTTTGAATTCTTCATTTTTCCTCTCAATATAAAATCCCTATAGATTAGTTTATTTTGGGACATAAAATCTACAATAGGAAAAAAGAAGGCAACTATCTATCAAATGATTTTATCCATGTAATATATATAAAGGGTATATGGTCTAAATATTTTGAATTCTTTCAATTCATAAATTTATTTATGAATTGAAAGAATTGAGTAAATATATTTGTAGATAATTGTATTAGGTAAATTCATCAGTTGATTGTATTGGGTAAATTCATCAGTTGATTGTATTGAGTAAATTTATCAGTTAAAGGTATGAGGTAAATTCATCAGTTGATTGCATTTTGTAAATTTATCAGTTGAAGGTATTGAGTAAATTTATCAGTTGTATGTATTGGGTAAATTCATCAGTTGATTGTATTGAGTAAATGTATCAGATAATTGTATTAGGTAAATTCATCAGTTGATTGTATTGAGTAAATTTATCAGTTGTATGTATTGGGTAAATTCATCAGTTGATTGTATTGAGTAAATTTATCAGATAATTGTATTAGGTAAATTCATCAGTTGATTGTATTGAGTAAATTTATCAGTTGTATGTATTGGGTAAATTCATCAGTTGATTGTATTGAGTAAATTTATCAGTTTATTGCATTGAGTAAATTTATTAGTTAAATGTGTTAGGTTAAGTTATCAATTGAATGCATGGAGTAAATTTTTCTAGTTTAATGTATTGGTAAATCTATCAATTGAATGTATTGAGTAAATATATTAGTTATATACATTGAGAAGATTTTTAGTTGAAAGTTTTAGGTGAATGTTTTTTGTAACTTATTTACCGATGAGTCAAATTATTTAATTTATTCCACAGATCCTGGAACAAAACCGATTTCTGTAGAAGAAACTTTATATAAGGAATGTTTAGGAACTGGTATTGGAATTGGTATTGGAATATCTGTTATGTGTTTATTGCTGGTTTTACTAACAATATTTATATATAGAAAATATCATCCAGGTATTGGTTATACTGTATTTACCATTAATATTAACTATGAAATGTTCCTTTAAGAATTAATCAATATATATATCTTAACATAAAAGAGATGCAGTCAATTTCAATTACCCTTGTCAGAATTACAATTTATCTTAACCTTCTCCTACATTCTGCCAGAATTCTGTCAATATTAAACTTCTGATGGACGTTTTTATTTAATTGATTGTGAATTGGGTGTCGTATTTCAATTCTGAAAAGTATTTGGGATAGTTGAAATTGAGTCTTGTCAGTTGGTATAACAAATTCTTATTCTGCTGAATAACACAATGTAATTTTATAATATTGTATTTTGTAGCCAATAAGAAATTACCAGAAGAAAGGTGAGTTATGTTTTCTCTCCTGATCTGGAACTTCTATTCCATTGACCTACTAAAGGGAAAATAAAAATTATAAATCATTCAGTCTTTCATACAATTTCAACTGCAGACTGGTTTGGTTGAGTACAGAAGATTAAATCCTTATATCCAAATGTCGTTTTGGTCAAAACTGATAAAAACATATTTGCTCATTTTATATATTCTTACTTTCCAGTTATGCAACGTTTTCCAATAGAATTCCAGAAGGTATATTATCCCATTTTATAATTAATTTATCACAATTTACATATTCAGTATGACTATCAATTCTATACCCATAACGGTCCATCGTACAAGTTCCGATGCCGCTTCACGGTGAAAACAGCCGAGAGTCACAGAATTTCAAAGTCCAAATATTGTAATTTTATTCTAAATTATTAGTTATTAGATTTTCTTCCTTACAGATAGAACATATGAAGATTTAAATACTCGTCCTGAAGTTAATGATAACAATCAACATAATTCTGGAGATGTAAAAGAATATGAAAATCTGAGAGGAAATTGAATATAACATACAGTAATATTTGTTAAGAAAATTCTTCGCCCATTCCAAAATGCCGTCTGGAAGCAGTGAAAAGTACGTTTAGATAAAGGGCAAGTTCACTTTGGAATTCGTTATCCACATCTCTTAAATTGTCCTCTGGATTATGCTGTTTTAAAGATGGACTAAAGAAGAAACTGGTACCTAGTTCAAAATAATTTTTTTTCATGATATAATTTATACTTGTCTGATAATTTTGTAATAACTCTGTTCACCATATTCATGACAATTCTCCTTGTATATTATATATATTAATTGTAGTAAGATAGTGGATTTTATCTTCTGCTGTTATCTCTCAAGGTCCATTTTGATAGTATTTTTCATCTTAAGATTCATACTATTTTGTGAAAAATATCTAATTTTGACACATTATTTACATTAGATTCAAATTGGACACGGTTGTGCAAAAATATCTACATGAGAATAAAGATTAGACTACATTCAATAGTTTCTTTATAATGGGAGACAACTTTATTTATTATTTGTTATAAAGGATTATGAGACAGTTTCTAGTAAAGTCAGAAGTCACTTTGAATTTCAAATTACAATATAACAATTGTGAGTGAGGTCTGCCAAACAAAATAAACAGATTATGAAAAGTGGTGGCACAACAAATTCCATTGTGCAATACTACTTTAATGGTTAAACACACCTTTTGAGCCTTCTATTTGTTAAAAGAACGAAATATAACCATCTAATTGTTAATGATGGGTTCTGTAACTTATACTGTTTTATGGGCTGGTGGCACTGGAAGGTGATCTTCTTGGTCTTTCGTGTTTTCAGGCTTTGATGTAACATGGGCTACAAGCACCCCAGGGACACCAGAGAAGTACACGAAAGACCCATAAGTCAGTTTTTAACGTAATATTTTACTAATCACCAAACCTTTTGTCAAATTTGCCTAACATTTTAAGGATTTTGGTACTTGTCTAGAATTACCGACTGCACTCTGGTAGTCTTTTATTAAGCTCTTGAGTTATTGTTTGGTGGGGATAACAGGAGGTAGTATGTAATTAATTGGGGTACAAGGTGTCCAAAAAGTTTGTAACGGAGATTCCGGTGTTTCTCAGGAGAACCCTTTCTGACGTGATTACGGTAAAAAAAAATTGTAACCGAAATCCCAGTGTTTCTCAAGACCCTCTCTGACGTGATACCTTCTAGACATTGCTACAATATAGAAGCATGTATTTAGGTCATATTATACAATCATATAATAGTATGTATAGGTGTTTTCATGTTTAACAGGGACATTAAATAACAGCCTTACAATAAAAAAAAACTATACACTAGTAGGTCACATGTATGACAAGATCGTCTTGTTGAATATTATTCAATAACATGGAGTATAAATGTATATTAATAGTTATAGTATATTTATCAGTACTAATTACAGGTAAGTGATGTATTTACATTGTATTTATTTATCATGATATACATCTATAAGATAAATCTTCGTGTAGAGTAAAATAAAATTATAATAGTTATATTCAACTTAACGCTTAACGCATATAATAATATCATATGATATATCGAATCGCACTGTCAACTTTGACATTTTTTTATGATAGATATTTGACTTCTAGTTTTACCTTCAAAATATTTAGACCATATACCCTTTATATGTAACATGGATAAAATCATTTGATAGATAGTTGCCTTCTTTTTTCCTATTGTAGATTTTATGTCCCAAAATAAACTAATCTATAGGGATTTTATATTGAGAGGAAGAATGAAGAATTCAAACTAAAATATTCATCAAAATATCAAGTTTATACTTTCAGCAATGTGATGGCAGTTGGCTTATAGTATTTAACATCTCAAAACTTGGATTGGCAGTTTTATGTAAAATAGTTGAATTCAGAATTAACTGATGGAATGATATTTCCTTTTAACGAAATAATATCATGTATTTCGTTTAAACGAAAAAAGTAATTCGTTTAAAAGAAAAGAATGATATTATTTCGTTCAAACGAATTAATTATTTCGTATTACAAAGTATTGAAAATTACGCTTAAGGAGGGTTCCGTAGATAGTTAGGTGAAAATTATACATTACAATGTAATGTTACAGATTCGCCTAGTGTTCTAGATTTCCGTAGAAACAATATTGTTGTATGTAGTATGATAAACTGTGAGAGTAGTTCAGATAATAGATATAAATGTGGATGTATAAATAATAACAACAAACAACTATATCTCAATATAAGTAATATAAATAAACAAGATGATACAACATGGTCTTGTAGAGGTAATTCTGGTAGACAAGGATCAATTAATGTATCAGTTTATTGTAAGTTTATTTTCATCTCTGTTTAATTTTCAGATTATCATTCACTAGTCAAACTGACACGATAATACACTCTTAATTTATCATTTTCTGTGAAGCAAAAAAAATTGTCCTTTCTCATTTTATGAGCATCGTTATTTGGTTAAATTCAATAAAAGAAATTTAAAGAAATAATAAAGTGATTTTTACAGATGGTCCAGAGAATATAAGATTTAACCCTACTAGTGATAATATAGATGTTATAGAAGGAAAGAGTCAGAGTGTCAACTGTTTAGCTGATTGTAAACCAGATTGTAACATCATCTGGTCTAAAGATGGTTCAACAACAATTCTAAATAACACTTTATCACTTAGTACTAGAGATCAAACTGGTTCTTATAACTGTACAGTTAAACATACTGTATTAAATAAACAACTTACAAAACAACTTAATGTTCAGATTAATTGTAAGTATATCATACTTTAACGAAGCACAAGACATTTATTAACTCAACGTTTCACATCCTCATACAGGCGGCGTTATCAGGAGAAGTGTCACTTAAATAAACAACTTACAAAACAGCTGCCCAGAATTATTGTAAGTATATAATACTATAACATGTTAACTGATTGTTATTATTTCAGATGGGCCTGATAGACTTACTTTCTCACCAGATGTAACAAGTATCAATATAATAGAAGGTAGAGATCTAACTATAACATGTTTAACTGATTGTTATTATTTCAGATGGTCGTGATGAACTTGCTTTCTCACCAGATGTAACAAGTATCAATATAATAGAAGGTAGAGATCAAACTATAACATGTTTAACTGATTGATATTATTTCAGATGGTCCTGATGAACTTGCTTTCTCAGCAGATGTAACAAGTATCAATATAATAGAAGGTAGAGATCAAACTATAACATGTTTAACTGATTGTTATTATTTCAGATGGTCCAGATGAACTTTCTTTCTCACCAGATGTAACAAGTATCAATATAATAGAAGGTAGAGATCAAACTATAACATGTTTAACTGATTGTTATCAGTGTAATTATAAATGGACTGGACCTGTTTCATCACCAACTAAAGATCTTGTATTGACTCAAATAAAAAGAAATCAGGAAGGAAACTATAGATGTGAAGCTACCAATATTAAAAATATCATCCCTAAAACAAGATCTAAATCTCTACAAGTTAATGTACATTGTAAGTATATATTTATTATATGACCCACCTCTCTATGTCAATGTATAATCATAAAAAAAGAATTGAGCATTTTCTGATAATATTGTTATTGTGCTCGACTGAAAAGCTACTTTTAAATAAATGCAAACGTCTTGATAGATATTTTTCAAAGAGTATTGCTGAAAGACTAAGCTTTTGATGTTCCTCAGTACTTTTGGACAATCACTACTTTCATCCACTAAAAAATATTCGAAAAATGCTAACAGTTGATTTGTCCAAACATCACAAAAATCTATAGGCATCATCCTTGGCACGGCCTAAACCTACGGAAACAATCTGTCAAAAATTGATGCCTTTAAAGTGAGCATATATTTGATATAAACAGACCAACGGAAAATATGAGGACTCATTGTTTGCTGAATGGGCATATAAAATTCTGACTATGTTAAAGATTATTAATTGCCTTACTTCTGTTTCAGATCCACCTGATATAACCAGTATAACATCTGATGCTGTAAATAACACAGCTGATGAAGGTTCTGATGTTATATTTAACTGTAATGTTGATAGTAAACCAGTATCTACTGTAACCTGGTCATTTTCTACTAGTACTGATACTAACACTGGTCAACAGTGGACATTAACACAAGCTAAATGTCAGGATACAGGAATCTATACATGTACAGCTAATAATGGTATTGGTCAATCAACTACTAAATCTTTACCATTAAATATTAGATGTAAGTTTTTATTAAGTCAGTATACTATAATCTATACATGTTCAGCTAATAATTAAATATTTAATGAAAATACATATCTAGTCCGTATATTATAACCTATTTATGTAGAGCTAGTAATGGTATTGATCATTCAACTACGAAATCTTTACCATTATTGTTACGGTATTGTTTGTATTTATAGTTCACCAAATAGGAATAATCGACCATGGTCTCATAGAGGAGGTTTTCGTATCACCTGATGCACAACTTTAATAGTTCTAAGATTGGTTTGTCCGACCAATTGTCCTACTCAAGTTATGCATTATGTTCTAACGGCTAAGCCGTGTATAATGGAATTGTGCAACTATGCCTAGCCTAAATCTTATTTGCTATTAGAAGGCCATATATTTAACTTGTTACAATCCCTGAATGAGGTTTAGTTTTTATCGATAAGTAGTAACACTGTTTTACATTTACTATAAAAGGTCCACCAATACTTAAAGAAGAACTGAAGAAAGAAATAAGAAGACAAATTGGAGAAATGGTATTATTAGAAATAAATATAGAAGCTTATCCTGAACCAAATTTTATATGGAAACAATTGATATCTGATATAGAATACCCCTTTGCTAAAACAGAGAGAGTTTCTGAAAATAATTTTATATCCACATTAGAATTGATATTAGATCAATCATCGTTTGGTTATTATATAATAACTGTACAAAATATTATTAATGGTGAAACTAAAGCAAAAACCTGGGGAATAAAAATCATTGAACTCGGTAATTTTATTTGTATAATTAAGTATAATTGACTATTTTAGACATGATTTCATGAATTTTTAACGTTCTTCATCATAATCCCATTAAGTGAATATCATATACTTATTAATATTTGATATGATTTTAATGGGTGTATTAAAATGAAATTAAATGTTTGTTAAAGGTGGAGTATGCAAATTTTCATTATCGAAAAAGTCGTCAAACATCTATGTATCTATTTTATCAAACAGAATTAGCGTTAAAAGAGTAAATTAAAATCATCAGTTGAATGTATTGAGTAAATTTATCAGTTAAATGTAGATTTTTGGTAAACTTGATATACCGGCAAGTCAAATTCATTTATTTTATTCCACAGACCCTGGAACAATATCTTATAAGCAATCTGGATATCAAGAAGTTTTATCCACTGGTATTGGAATCGGTATTGGTATTGGAATATCTCTTGTTTGTGTATTTCTGGTTTTACTGACAATATTTATATATAGAAAATATCATCCAGGTATTGGTTTTACTGTACTTTGGGGATCTTTAAAAAAAGAACCATATGAAATTTTCTATTGTTAATTTTCTATCATTAAATAGTCAATTTTAGTTACCCTTGTTTCTTTTCAGAATTACGATCTGAATCTTCTCCTACATTCTGTCAGAATTGTGGCATTTGACAACCATTTATATTCTCGCGTGCAATTATTACAAGGCTTAATTAGTAACACTACAATTCAATGTCAATACTTCCACGAAAAATTCAAATTCCTAATGAACGTTTCATTTAATTGTAAGTTGGTCGGGTGTCGTATTTGAATGTTGAAAAGTATTCCGGATAGTTGGAATTGAGTCTTGTAAGTTGGTTTAACAATTTCTTAAATTCTTATACTGCTTTAAATATAAATTAATCTAATTATTTATTTATTTTTCTTTTGTAGCCAATAAGAAATTACCAGAAGAAAGTTGAGTTATATTTTTTTCCTGATCTGGAACTTCTATTCCATTGACCTACTATATCAACCTTTTCAATCTGTATGGTTATTCTGATGATTATGTTCTTGTCGAAATTGAAGTCATTATATAGCAACGATCATTAAATGCACACAAAGAATATCAGCCGCAGACTGGTTTGATTGAGAAAAAATGTTGTTTTGAGAAGTTGTAGTTAAAACTGATAAAAACTTATTTGTTCGAATTACTTATGATATATTCTTACTTTTCAGTTATGCAACGTTTTCCAATAGAAATCCTGAAGGTAAATTATCACATATTATCATGAATTTATCACAATTTACACATTCAGTATGACTATCAATACTATACCCAAAACGGTCCATCGTTCAATTTCTGATAGTGTTCTTCAACTTTACGGTGGAAACTGCTTAGAATCGCCGAAATTCAAAGCCCAAAGGTTGTAATTTTTATATTAAGTTATTAGTTACTAAGCACGCCTTTCTTACCTACAGATAGAAAGTATGAAGATTTAAATGCTCGTTCTGAAGTTAATGATAACAATCAACATAATTCTGGAGATGTAAAAGAATATGAAAATATGAGAAGAAATTAAATATAACAGACTGTAATATCTGATTTTGTAGTAGTATTTTCCAATTCTAACGCATTAAATATAACAGACTGTAATATCTGATACAGAACTAGTAATATCCAATACTGAAATTTTTAGAAATGCAAGCCATCGCGAACAATTGAGGGCTCTTTAATTTAATGTACGTCTCTCCAAACCCAGTATCATCTTGCCTAACTGACCACCGATTTCAGCTCTGTATTCTCTCGTTTGTCTACCGAGTTGCATTTAAATTAATATTATGGTAATTTTCAGTGTGTTCTGATCGGTATATGACAACTATCAGTTTATGCCTATCTATTGTAAATATTCACTATTATTTATTTATATATATGTATTATGAATCTTCAATTTGGAGGAAATAAAGATATATGTAACGGACTGTAATATCTGATACAGTACTAGTAATATCCCATACTAACACATTAAATATAAAAGACTGTAATATCTGATACAGTACTAGTATTAAATTAAACATATTAAATATAACAGATTAATATAGATAGATACAGTAATATACTGTAATATCTGATACACTAATAATATCCAATACTAACCTTTATTATTTCTGATACTCAATATGTATTCGGTATACTAATTGAACTTT